CTGATTTTCAACTTTCTTTAGCAAACAGCAATTTGTTTTTCAAACATACCTTTAAAATGGCTGTGCTATTAGAATTTATTTCCACTTGGAATATTTTTCCATCCCTCTTGTTATCTCACACCCATTCTTCCATGAAGCCTGACTTCTCAGCCCAGCGTCTCAGCAGTCAGTCTTCCCTCAGACCTCTAGAGCCTCTCATATGGTATTGACGTGTACATGGGCCTCCATGTTTAATGTTTGTGTTTGCGTGTGTGTGTTGATTTGGGGGTGGGGAGCGTGTCTTACAGAGTTGCCCAGGTTGGCCTAGAACTCACAATCCTCCCACTTACCCCTCCAGAGGAGCTGGGTCACAGGTGTGTGCTGTTGTGCCTTGCTTCGTTGTGTTTGGCAGACACTTGGTGCTCCTTTGTTAGCACAAGGTTTTGTGACGTACTGAGGGATGAGGGAGAGGCCCTGCTCCGTGATGGTCTATGACCAGGACATGTAGTCCTGTAGTCCTGTAGGTCATGTAGTGAACCTTTCCTTTCGGGTCGCTGTTTTGCCATGGTGCTTCTCACAGCCACAGGAACGTGACTAAGACAGTGCCTCAGTAGCCATGTGCCCCTTGAGGACCTTTGGCATATTTGGTTATTTCCAAGAAGCCTGTAGTAATTTACACACATAAATGCTCTCAACTCCCTGCTCTCTCGTGATGAGCTTCATGAGACCATGGAGCTTATTTCTTTGTTTTAAATACATATCAAAAGTTACCTATTCCACCTAGGCTCTGCCTATTCAACTGTAAACATCCTCAAACCTCTCCTCTCTTTCCCTAAAGCACATAAACTTCAACACACAGAGAGAGTGAGTTTGCCTTGGCAGCTCTGGAGAGAGAAGTCAAAAAGAACATCTGTCTACGCCTGTCCCCCGCCCCTCCATCTGACCTGTGGTTTCTGCCCCTGTGACTTTGCTGGAACTGCTTCCATCCGGGCCCATCAACAGCGCCCCGGCTTGTAAATCCAAACTCACTTTTCTGTTCCGTCCTTTGACCTGGATTTCTATCTGCCTGCACCTGCTTGACCTCTTGTTCTCAGATTTGACAGTGTTGTCCCAGTTGACGGCTTCCCTCTCCCTACAACTGCCCTGTGACTTGGGTAATGCACTTTCTTTGGCCTCTTTTGAATCTCAGCCAAGGTGCCTCTTCCCCACCTGCCTGGCAATGTTGAGAAATGTCTTCTCAGTGTCCACTGTTTCCCAGAGTGATGCTGGTCAGCCCTGGGGAGTCATGTGCCGCCTGGGGTTAGATAATTCCCAAACTGCTTTTCAGCCTGGCTCTCTCCTGATGGCGACGTCCACATTGCCCGCTGGACTCTCGCATTTGGCACCTACGAACACCCCGTACTTAGTGTGTCCCTAAACGTCCCAGGGCGCTCTTGCACATATGCCCCTTCCGCTGCCTTCTCTGGGTGTGTTACAGTGCCGCTGCCCTCTTTTGTACGGTGGCTAAGTAGCCATGTTGACTTCACATTTTCACACTTGGGGCAGAGAGGACAACGCCAGGCAAGCGCTCTACCACGGAGCGCTTACATTTCAAAGCTTCTCCAAACGTTCTTCTTTTGAGGGCCTCTTAGCCCCTTAGCACGAGTCTCTTCACTGGCATTTGTGCCTCTTTTCTTGCCTGTGATCACATTCTCCCTATTGTGTAAACCGATCCTCCCAAAATGTAAAGAAGATCTTATCGCTCCTCCTCACTGAAGGGTTACTTCAGTGACTCCTCATCCTCTTCTCTCGGGCTTCTCAAGTTCCACACTGTTGACATCGGCCCGGCTCTTGGGCTGTGTTAGAGGATATTAACCAGTACCCCGTCTCTCACTAGGAAATGCCAGTAGCACCCACCACTGCTGGGTTCTGACACCCTGAGAAATGTCCCTGGACACAGAGCTGGCAAATCCATGGCTTGATAGGACAAGATGCAGGTACCTTGGGATTTTTGGGAAGAAGGCCCTTTTTGAACTGCCCTGGCCTGGCTTCCTGTGTCACTTTTCTCCCCATGCCTTCCAGTGACCACTAGGTTCCTCGAGACGTCTTCTGCACTTTGTTCTCATGCTTCATCTGGGCTTCTCTCTCCACCAGCGCCTCGTGGCACGCACCACTGCTCCTGTCGCTTGAGTAACCTCCACGGCTTCGGAATTTGGCTTAGACCCTTGGCCTTCATGAGGTGCTGCTCTCGTGTCTTCCCATCCCCTCTTCCTGTCCTTGTTCGTCACGTGCACACCCATCAATCTACAGGGGGCAATTGCTGATGGCCAGGCCTGGCTTTCCTCTGTGCCGCACACAGGGACCGGCTTGTAGCCGGCACTCGGGAACAAATGTCCAGAGCATGAACACCGCTCACTAAGGCTGTGTGCAAGGGCGGGATACTGAAGCAGCTTCTAGTTGCCATGCTTTCCCTTCCACCATCCCGGCCTGCGTGTGTCACGGAAACAAAGCCAGTTGGTCAGTAGGTCAAGCAGCAGCCTCCCCAAGGCGGGAGTCTGCAGGAAGAAAGTGTGAGGCCATGCATCTTCTTCCAAGCCTGCGGCACTGCGCTGCCGCGTGGCACAGAGCTCAGCCAACGTCGCTCTGGTCCCAGAAAGGACTGAAAAACTGAACCGAGATGAGAACTCAGAAAAGAAACCTGACATTTTTCTCCAGCAGCATATGGATTTCTCATTAGTGCGTGTAAGGGAAAACCGGGGGCGGGGAGGCCTCGGCAGCTGCAGCTGTCCACACGCCCCCTCCTCATTCTGCCGCCACACCTGGTCCCCAGAGGCACCCCCACTTCTCAGCTATTTTGGCTTAGGTATGGACAAAGCTCCAGGGTTCGGTGGAGACGAGCCTGGAATTTTTCAAAAGAAGCTTTGCTAGGAAACAAAACAGAAGTAAAACAGAAAATAGCGTATAGAAATGATAAAAATGTAGACCAGGGGGAAAATGTCCCTCAGCTGAAGAAAAGAGAAGCAGTGTGTGTGTGTGTGTGTGTGTGTGTGTGTGTGTGTGTGTGTGTGTTATTTTATTTTGCTGGACTTAGTTCACTATTTGATTTTTCATGCTGTTTTCTGCCTCTGGGCACTCCTCCTAAGTCTCTCTTTGTGTCTGTATGCTGTTCTTTAAGGACCTTCTCCATATTCGGCCAGGGATGGTATTGGAACCGACGTCACTGCTGCTTGCCCTCCTAGGCAGCCATGACTGATCACAAGGAGAAACAAGTTTTCCACCACTTTTGCTAAGCCAGCGGAGTGATTGCAAACGCTAGCAGAGGACTGGGCCGCAGTGTTCATAATAAAGGTTTTACTTGCCTGGTGTGAAATGAAAAACAGACGTCATTGGCTTTTTAATAACATGAAGGCACTGACCTTTTTACCCTGAGGTTTCTTTTTTTCACCTTTTAGGTAATTGAAATAGCAGATGGTGGGCTAGAGCGTAGTGGTGTAACGCGGTTGCCTAGCATGTGAGAGGCCCTAGGTTCAGTCCTCGGTGCAGAAAAAAAATAGCAGATGGTTTATGTTTTATGTGGCGAAAAATGGATTTAATTTAAAAATAAATATATTTACCTTAAAAAATAAAATAGCAAGTGGAAGTTGTGAGATTTTAAGTGCCTATTTGGCAAAATTAAGAATGGGTAAGTTTTGGTAGGTACCCCCAGTTTTGTTCGTTTTTTAAAGATTACGTTGTGTGTGCGCCCAAGTGTGTGCCCGAGTATGTGTGCGTGCCACCGCGTGAACAGTGCAGCCAGAGGACAACTTTCCGGAGCTGGGCCTGTCCTGCCGCCGCGTGCGCCCTAGGGATGGAATTCAGGTCCGGGGTTGGCCGCGAGTGCCTTTTCCGGTGCTGTTTTTAACAGTCCTTCTTGGTGTCTGAAATCCCAAACTGGCCGGCAGAAGGTCCTAGGCTGTCCCTGTGCTCCGTGGGCCATCCTCAAAGGAATTCTGATGGTTCTTTATCCCCCAGCCCCCACAGAGTGCTGGCCTGCCCCTCGCTGACTTCAAGGGCAAGTGGTCCAGTCTTTGTAGGTTTGATGTTCTCTCCTGAGGAACTCGGTGTGCATCATCACTGATTGACTGTGGCAATAATAGATGTACTTGCCGTGAACAAGGCCCATGAGCATGAACTCTTCATTGTCTCCGTCGCCACAAAAATCACAGGGAAGAGATGTAGTTGTGGAGATAAGAGGGGGTTCCCTCCGTAGCTTGGAGGCCTGGGGGAGAGTGCCTGTCTCCACCTCAGACAGCTCCACAGTGGACAAGGGTTTTGCCAAGGAGAAGTTGTCTGTCTAAACTGGACTGTTAGGGGGATAGTCCCCATCAACACAGCATGGCAACACTACAGAGAAGGAAGGTCAGAGGAGCACCCACCTGTGCCGAACACAGCTCTCCTGTCTGTAGACCAGAGAGGCCCAGGCGGGACAGCGCTTCCCTGGGACCTTGCCTTCCCTAGTGGCTTTCCCATTCACCACAGGAGTTTAATAGGGGATGGTCTGCATGTGGACTCAGTGTTAACTTCCAGAATGTGGACACCTCTGCGGCCATGAGCTCTCCCGAGCCTCTGTTGCCAAGCAGATGCCATCCCTGACATCTGTGGAGCTCCAGAGAGCCTGCCAGCATCGGAACCTCTGGGTCCTGCCTGCCACATGGTAGGGAGGGTAGGGAGCTGTGGAGTGTCCAGAGATGGCCCTGAAGCCATGATACAAAGAGTGACATTAGAAAGAGACATTAGATGTCTCCGGAAGACATCTTTAAGGTTTTTCTTTTTCTTTAGCATACAGTACTAGGAGATTATGTTGATGAAATGTGGAAATGCTTTGATAGAAACAAGGTAACTGCCTCCACCCAGGGAGATGGCACACTGAGGGGCCCTGTCTGGAAGACACACTTGAGCCCCTGAGCCTCCATCTTTACGGTCTGAAATCTTAGCACATGCTCCTCTTTCCTGCCACCATCCTCACATTAACCCCCGTCCTTGTGAATTTTCTTTTTTTGTAGTATCTAACCAGACGGATACCACAGAACCCAAGGTATCAACATGTCAAGTCAAGACTGGATACTGGTAAGTAAAAATCAGTAACAATTTTTTAAAAATCTAGTAGCACAAAAAAAAAAAAAAAAAAAAAAAAATTAGCAGCTGTTGATAAACAGGAAAGTGCCCATCCGGCTGGGATCAGCCATGGCGGGAAGCTTCTTGTTGCCTTGCCTAAGGTCTTTGAAAGCTGTTTTTCACATTATCAGTAAAAGCCTCGCACTCCCGTGATTTCAGTTATTCCTAACCCCATCAGAAATCATCTGAATCTGGGAATGCCTAGGAGCGGGAGCTGCCGTCCAGTGAGGCACAGGCCACGCCGTAGCGCCGTAGCCGTCAGCCCGCACGCCATCCTGCAGTGCTCTAAGTGTCCTCCATCAAACTGACAGCGACAGGAGCGTGTGTGTTCAGCCCAGGGTTTGCAGGGTGCTGACTGCATGGAAAAGTGTGCACGCTGCAGGAGGATGGCTGCGGTTGTGGCTTTTGAAATTAGGCCACCGAGACTCAGGCGGAGGCTGACGGACTTGAATGAGTGACTAACATAGTGGCTGAGACCGACTTAGCGCTGCTTAGGTGAAAGGCCATGTCAGAGCCTTCTCGACGACCTCCATCCTGCCCGCGTCTTTCTGAGCACTCCCGATGCCCAGATCCCCACGGAGCTGCAGTCTTGTGAGGTTGGGTTGTTCGTTTTTGTTTTTTTCTTCAGCCTTTGCCTCACGATTCAGAATTTTCCAGCAGTTTCTGAGACACCTGAGGAAGGTGAAGGGCATGTCAACGCTGTTTAAACCCCCTTTCCCTTTCTGCAATCTTAAAAATCATTGTCTTTGGCTCTGCGGCTTCCTCACTAGCATAGATGCAAATGTTTTCAGATTGGCATGTGCTATTTCTACAAAATATTCCCATGCTACACAGATACTTATTCTTGCATATATTCTGTGTGGTTGGCAAGTATAAATATTATTGTTTCAGAGGAGAAAAAGATTTTGTGATTTACTTGGTTCTATTTCTTGTACCACAATAAATTAAATGAACAAACAAATAAATAAATATTTAAGAGCCCAGGTTTATTTCAGACATCTAGATTTATCTATACCTTAATAACTTTTTTCTCATGGACATCAAATAGGAATTTGTGCCAGCCCTTTCTATTTCTTTAGTTGAAACCATAACCAAAATTTGACTTAATAATGGTATCTGAAATTTAATTTTAATGCAATAATTAACATCTGATTTTGTAGTGCATAATAAATGTTGGAATCCTTTTCTATGCTGAGAGTTTTAAACTCTCTTTGTTAGTTAAGGTCTTTATTGTGAGATAACTGGATTCCCCTGCCTTTGTAAGGATGAATGGAAATTCCCCATACTCTTCACCCAGTTTCTCTCAGCCTGCGCGATTGCTATGGTGACAGGAGCATCAGTGTGTGCGGCCCCACTAGAGCAGTGTTTTCCCGCAGAGATCCCCTGCTTTCCCTTAGGAGGCTGTCTTCGCCCCGCTCCTGTCCTGCAGCATCTCCACAGCTCTCTTCAGTCTCTCACTTTGTCATTTTTTCAAGGGCCGCATTTGTGGAGCTAGGCGGATGCACTGTTTGGATTGAGTCCTTACATTCTTTGGCGCCTTTTTACATGCGTATTGCTGGGGAGTAGGCTGGGTGCCAGAAACGTGCGAGGCTGTTGCTCCACCGCAGAGCCACCCGTGCCCGGCCTGGGTGGACATCCTTCATGGGCAGAGCTCTCTGGAGCTTCCGGTGTGTGTGTAACAGCAGTTGTTCTTTGTTGCCAGCTAGTTTTCCCTGGTATGGCTGTACTTGACTTAATCACCCACTTGTTAAAGGACATTAACACTGTTTACAGTTGGGGATAGCTCTTTTAAAGAGTGCTGTACACGTTCATTTCGAGACTTCTATGTGAGCAGTTCTCACTTTTTCTGGAGTAAGTGCCAAGAGCACCGGTGCCGGGTCATATCGTACTTCGGTTTGATTCAGTTTGTTTTTTTGTCGTGTCTCTTTTGGAGACTGTTTCAGGTCTCAGACTGGCCTCACCTCCCTGGATAATCAAGGCTGGCCTTGCCTGCCTGAGCTTCCAGCCTCTGCCTTCACATGCTAATACACGGTTAAATGTTTTCCAGAGTGGCTGTACCATCACAGCCGATGAGTGGCCATCTTCTCCACAGCTTCACCTGCACTTGGCGTCGGCACCACTCTATTTTGCCACACTGAGGAGCCTGGAGTGGGCCAGCATTGCACTTTTAGACTTGCCTGAGAGCTCAGGAGGAAGAGTTTTGCATGTGCTTGTTTTCTGTCTGTCTTCTTTGCTGAAATGCCTGTGCTGACTGGATTACTTGCATTTTTACCATTGAATTTCCAGCTTCTTATCTATTCTAGACACCCGTCCTTTGTGAGAGGCGCAGTTTGCAAGTTTCCTTTCTCCATCTGCAACTTGTCTTTTCCTCCTCCAGACAATCTTTGAAGAATAAAAACTTCATCTCAATGAGGTCCATTTTTAGTAATCATAATTCCATTATCCAGTTTAAGAACCTTGGCCTAAACTACATTCCAGAGGCTTTTTCTATCACAGTTGTTTTTTTTTTCCTTAAAGTTTCTGGGTTTTACACTTCAGTCCATGATACATTATGAACTGCTGCTGCATAAGAATGGCCGGCATGGATGAAGGTTAGCTTTCTCCCTGAGGGCTGTCCGGCTGCTCTGCTGCCTCCATCCTGGCGACAGTCGGAAGGACACTCACGTGGGTTTATTGCAGGGACTCTGTTCTGTCCGCTTGATCTGCTCATGCCGACTTTGGCCGGTACTGCACACCCCTGACTGTAGCTCACAGTAAGCTGGCTACTTGGAGTTGGTTAGCCTCCTTATGCTCACTCCGACTTTTTCTTTGCAAAATTATTTTAACTTCTTTACTTTTTCATACAAATTTTAGAATGATCTTATTTACATTCATAAAAGGCCTGGTGTTGGGTAGGAATTATTTATCAATTTGGAGAGAACTGTGGATCTGTCTGTCTGTGGACTTGCCTGTGCTGACCATCCATGTACATGGAGTTGTATAGGATGTCGCCTTTTGCATCTGTCCCCTTTAACGTAGTGCAGGGCACTCCGAGTTCATCTACATCACAGTGTGCGTCCGCACTTCATTCCGCTTCATTGCCAAGTCATGTTCTATTGAATGGATATCCCATACTTTGTTTCCCAACTCGCCGTTGATGAACATTTGGATTATTCATACTTTTTGCTCATGGTGTGTCTTAAAAACATCAGGATAGGCAAGTTTTTGTGTACATGTGTTTCTGGTTCTCCTGAGGAGTTAAATTACTGATCAGATGATACTTGTTTTTCTGAAGACATGCCAGTTTCTTCTAACTAAGCCACACTGCTTCTCCTTGCCATCAGCAATGGGATGGGGAGCTGTGTCTCCTCCAGGCCCTCACCATCGCCTTGTTCACCATCCTGGCCATGTCCACCATGATGAGCCTGGGTGTCTTATGTGACTGTACTCCAGATTGTGCTCCTGGTGACTGATGATGTTGGACACTCGGGTGCTTATTGGCACTTGTATATTTCCTGTGGAGAAGTGTCTATTCTGATCATTTGCTCATTTTAAAAGTGGGTATTTTTCCACATTGTAAGTTCTTTTGTTTATTCTGGATACCAGACTCTTAGCAGAAATATGATTTTCAGATATATTCCCATTCTGTGGGTTGTCTGGGGTTTTTGTGGGATTTAACCAGAGAAGTAAATTACACCTACCCATCTTTCTAGAAGCAAAAGTCTCTCACATTAGCTTTGTAATAGCTTTTAGAAGGGCCAAAGCATGCCTTATTGCTTCAAGCTCTCAACTATTTTATAGGCAGTGTGGGAGAAAAATCCTTTTCTAGCATTTGGTTTTTTGTGTGTGTTTCACATTTAGCCATTAATCAGCTTTAGAGAGAGCTCTTTAATGTTTGCATTTCCAAGCATTTTTGTGACTTGCCTCTCTGATGTGCGAAGCCTGTGGGTTATATGCTGAGCTTCCAGCCTGCTAGCCTTTTGTGGTTAGCAAGGCCTACAGCAGCTCTGAACATACCATTTTGCCCACAGGCTATCAACGCCATAATGAAAATGTTGAGGAGTCCTGCTTAAGGAAATGCTAAGAGGGACCGAGAGGCCCGAGCTGCAGCATGGTCTCACCAGGGAGATTTGGTTTGGGTTTGGCTTTTGTTTTTTCATGACAGGGTTTCTCTGTGTAGCCTTGGCTCTCCTGGAACTCACTCTGTAGACCAGGCTGGCCTTGAGCATAGAGAGATCTGTCTGCCTCTGTCTCCCAAGTGCTCGGGTCACAGGCATGCGCCACCACCACAGGGTTCTGTTTGGTGTTTTTTAAGCTCTGCAGCCAGAGCCATGGAAATGTGCAGATTGAGTAAGCAGTCTCTGGCTCTAGGGTAATTAGGTGAGCCTTTAATCTTTTCTTAGAAATCAGTGATCAATCTGGAATTAATCACGGCACACACAAAATCAAGAATTCTGTGGCATGTCTTATCTTCTTGAAAGGCTGCTCTCTTCCTACTGGAAGAGACAACTTGGTCTCTGTACTCCTGACTGACTGCTCACAGAAACCTGAACCCTGCGGATGGCTGTGGCTGGCACCTCAGAGTTACACTGGACCTCCAGAATTTCCTTTGTTTCATAGGTGCCTAGGTGTTTGTTTTCTGTTCCCCTGCGGGCATTCTGCCCAGTCCCAGCTCTGGGTGTTCTGAGTAGCCTCTCTCAGTGTTTCTCTTCTGCAGCCCCACAGGCTTCATTTAGGGGTACCCCCTAAACCCCCGGGCTTCCCCGTGTCAACCTCATCTTTTGTCATCGCTGCATTGTCCTCTCACTTCTATTTTCAATCCTCTGCATTTCCTTAGCTTTCCAATCCTGTAGCCGTCCTCCACTCAGTGTTTTGTAGAGGATTTTTCTTCTTGTGGATGTCACCTTCCTTTTGTTAGGCTGTACACCTGAGCATTTCCTTTTCTCTCCGTCAGTCTCTACCTTTCCTGGATATTCGCTAATAATTTTGGTCTTAAGCTCATTATAGGCTGCATGCACTTCATTTTTATTTGGTATTTGATTTGTCTCTTACGTCAAAGGAAGGAATGTATGTGAAAGGCTTTTACAAACCAGAAAGCTGTAGACCCACGTACAACTCATCTGGGTTAACAAAGGACCACTGTGCCTCTTTTCACGCTTCCTGCTCCTTCTGAGCCAAAAGAACTTCTCTGTAGAGGAGGGAAATATTGAAGGAAAAATAAAGCTGTGGAGCTGTCTCTTAGCAACTGAATTCCTGCCTTATAAATCTTACCCTCTCCAGATTACTGCCGCTCAGAATCATTTGCTTTTGTTACAAGCCCGGTACAAATAATGTTATTAAGTTATAGGAGCACAATAGGGAAAAACCAAAGCAGCGAGTCACTCCGTGAATCGACTGTGCTCTCCCTTTGCACGGGGCTGCTGATGGAGCTGAGCTGTTTCTTTGTCTTGATTCAGGCTGTGGAGCCCTTGTTAGGTATCGTTCATTGCAACTTCGGTGGTGAGCAAGGTGGAAGTTACGTACCGCCTCAGGCTGGTTGCCCGAGTCCATGGCTCACACGTGTGCTCTGCAGCATAACTGTGCACCAGTCAAGCTGCACATCGTTTAAAGACAGTCAGGAAATCAGGCATGTGAAACGCAAGCCAAACCCAGATGTGGCTGTTTACATTACAGAATCACTTACTCTAAGGATGCTCTAAATAGTAGAGGTCTGTAGTCTGCTCCACCCAGCCAGTGGATTTCGTCTCCTCCGCCAGAGTACAGGAGTGAGGATTGTGAGTGCGCATGTGGATGTGCACAGATAAGTGGCCTTGGGCTTCCTGTGGAAAAGGTAGATAAGGCAGTCCAGTCAGCGAGCCATGCCTTGTGAGTGGGGGCGAGCTGCTCGCTGTGCTGTGGGACTGTGGGCGGGCAAGGCCGCTTCCTGCTGGGTAAGCCAGTGTAGGGATGCTGGAAAACGAAGGCTGCCGAGCTCTGGGCAGCCAGCAGGACTGTGCCGGCAAGGTCGGCAGTGTGGGCAGTGGCCAGCCGCTGAGCTCTTCTGCTTTGTTTGGCTTTTTAATTAGTCTTATTTAGGAAAATTTAACAATAATACTTGATTTTTAAAAGTCTCAAAAGATTAGCTTTTCGGGCTTCTTTGGTATAAAAGACATGTTTGTAAAGAAGTGACCTCTGAAGTTCGTCCATCTTTAGTCATTTTGTTGCAATTAGATGTAGTAAGATAAAGCACTTAATTGACACATTGCTACAAAATCCGTGATAAAATGCCGCCTCGCCTCTCTTACTCAAATCGTTTATGAGGAGCCAGGGGTGGTGGTCCTACCGTGTCCTCTCCAGCGGAAGCAGTGTGGAAACCCTCCACTGTCTTTTCTTCTCCATACCTGGAAGGAGGAATTTCTGTAAAGAAAAGAGTCTTTGTTACTAGCCCTCTTAGATCTGCTCATAATTTTGCCAAGTATTTGTAGAAATGCAAGAGGTTTTCATTTTCCTGCCTTTTCCTTCAGTAGGAAAAACAAATGCTAGGTGGAGAAGCCGTCCTCTGAGCCTTCTGGGGGGGGGGGGGGGGGGGTGCTGTGCAGAGCTGCAGGGAATATTGGTAGAGCATTTACTTAGTATACATGTGGCCCAGGGTTCAGTCCCTAGCACTGAAGCACTAAAAAATAAAACACATAAAAATAAAATTTAGACACTTTGTTAGTAGAAAGAGTATTAGTTGTAGCTACAACATTTTATTTAATAAGTGAGGCTGGCTGTTCGTGCTCAAAGAAGGAGCACTTCCCCCAGGTCACAGTGTTTTTAAAACCACAGGAGAACTGTGGTCACAGCTTAGGGCAGAGTCCTTGCCTGTCATGCAGGAAGCCTGGGGTTCAGTCTCCACTACCATTTATAATAAAACACCAGTAGAAGAGCCAGGTGGTTCTGTGAACCATGCAAGAAGCCGGGAGGTTGGGAATGCTAATCCTCAAATAATTGCTGAGTTGCTGCATTGCTGGGCAAATTGATGAGGCTTTTTTCTCCCAGCTTTCTGACTAGATTGCGCGAAGCTCCTCTAAACCCAAAGAAACTGCCACTTCAACCACACATAGTGTAGGAGACAGGAAGGGACCTGTCACTAGGGTTCCCGTGTCAAGTGTTTCCAGGATAAGACTGTCAGACGCTGAACAGCAAACTAATTGGGTTTCTCTTCAGAACCTCGGTGTGTCACCTTGCAAGTCCACACTTGAGTTCAGAGCTGCAGAAGGGAAGAGGGGTGGGGATACAGGAAGAATGATGGCTTCTGCTGTGGAATTCCTGGGTCAAGTCTTAGGTCAAAAGGCTTATTTTAGACTTTAAGGAGTATTGGCTCTTTCTTTCTGTCCCTTTGTATATCCTCCCCACAAAAGGAGGAAAAAAGCTTTGGCCAAATAAAGAAAGAGAGAGACAGAGACAGAGAGAGAGAAAGAAAAAGAAAGAAAGAAAGAAAGAAAGAAAGAAAGAAAGAAAGAAAGAAAGAAAGAAAGAAAGAAAGAAAACCAAAGCGCCTAAAACAAATTGTATTTGGTTTTTGTCTGGATCTTGGTGGCTTGGAGGGTCTTCTGAAAGCTGCTCAGGGTTTGTCTTGAGGAGGCTTCAGGCCTCCTTAGCAGCCCTGCGTGCTGTCTGAGCTTCTGGAAGGACACCGTCTGGGTTTAGGGGTATACTGCAACCTCCCTAGCCTGATGGAGAGTGTGTCCTAAAATAAAAACAGACAGAAGTAGCAGTAATAATTAAAAATAACCCCAAAGCAGTGGGTTTTTATTCTGTGATGAATCCATGGTAAAATTTTAATAACAAATTAAGTATGGCATTATTTTGAAAATAAATTTTGAGTTTAAGATGGGATTTTTTTTTCCTCTCAGTTTCTTTCTCAAAGGTGAAGAAAAGTTCAAAATTGTGCTCTCAAATGTCAGTTCATACCATTCATAGAAGGAAGCACTACTTTGAAGTTAGGCTGAATCTCAAGGTTTAAATGAGAAATTATTTTGACTGTTTTTCATTTCGCACGTTTAGGTGTGAGGTAGGACTGGCCATGTTGAATCAAATCGAGTTGCAGTGCTCTGCATTGAAAATAATAATAATTACAGCAGCTCTGGCCTGAAAGCCAGAATTTAATTCCTTTGGAAACCAGAATGGTCCTGGACCAGTTTTAAAGCATGAGAACACTCCAAACCACCTTGGGTGGTGCTGCATATTGTAGAACCATAAAACACGAGGGCTGGGCGTGCTCAACACGCCCTCGGCACACCAAGTACAGCGTGGATGTGAGTGCCCAGACTGTGTGGTCCAGGCTGCAGCATCAGCATCAACAGTGGCATACAGGGTGGAGGGAGGAGAAGCCACAAAGACAGGGTGGGTAGAGAGAGGTGCTGGGGCAGCCAGGGAGGCGGACTTTAGACATCCAAAGACGATGGCTTCTTTCTTTATCTCCCTCTGTATATCTAACCGCAAAAGGCTATGGTGGGTGTAAGGAGGAAGAAACCTCTGACTCTAAAAGGGAAAAGTGAGGGAATGCAGGCTGTAAATGTCATCTGCGTTGCCTGAAACCACTGAACCACAGTGGAGCAGAGCGCTTCCTCCGTTCCCTTCCCTCCCTGGCTGATGCTACCTAACCTAAAAGGTCGTGGACCACGTGTGGCTCATTTGCCTGTTGTCCCAAGTTCTCTAGTAACAGGACAGAGGAGCTGAGGGGGTGCTTACTCTCAGCCTCATTCCCAACAGTAAAGCATGGCTAAGACTTATCTTCTCTTCTAGGTAACAGCATGACCAAATACATTGAGAAGCTAGAAGAGATTAAAAAAAGTGAGTACACCATTGGCGGCTGGGGAGAAGTGAGAGCTCTGTAGTCACTGGTTATCAGCCCCTGCCCTCCGCAGCTGCCATGTGTGGGGGCTGTGGGGGCCAGGTGAGCCTGCAGGTGCCTGAGACCACTCAACTTACACTCTGGAGGGGATTTTAAAGTTAGAGTGTGGGACCAGCCACAGCCCAGGTGTGTGGTTTTGTTGGACTGCAATCTTTGTGGTCGTTCTCTCTGGAGCTCCGTCCTCTCTTCTTATCTTGTCCATACCTGAGACAGGGTAATAACAGCTTTCTTCATAATCCTGTTGTATTTGCTGGCGAGTGTTCATGAAGGACTAAGAGGTCTGAGGAAACCACTCAGCTTAGTGTTCTACCTTAGCCATGCATTGCAATCTGTTTTCCTTCCTTAAAAACCATATTTCACGCACACCTGTTAGGAGCTAGCCTACAGAGGGTGCAGTGCCCCCCGGAGAATCGTCAGTTTTCAGTCTGTGTCCAAAGCCAGTCGATACAAAATGTACATGTTGAGGCCAGATTTAAAGAAGACATCAAACATCTGTTTTCTAGGATAGATCTGCTCTGTGTGGCAGAACAGGGAGCCAAGGGTTTGGCCAATAGTAGGGAGAGGCACTCCTACCCCAGTTCAGGGCTTGGCTCTGCTAACATGCAGCTTCTGGGGAGGGAAATTACAGTTCTGAAATACACCAGAATTTTTTTTTTCTTGACACAGCAGATCTTTTAATTTAAAAAGATAACATCCCATTTGAATTGCATGATGTAAGAAAACCACAGGGGGTGTGGCCTGGGGATGGCCTTCTGCCTCTTTATTTGCTACACTCAGCTAGAAGACCCAGTCTATAGACACTTTAAAATATGTATTTAATGTTAAATAAATATATAGTGTATAATATATATATAATAAATATATAATATATAATAAATAAATATATAAAATGAAGAAGCCTTCTTCATTTTACATGATATCAGTTATCTCTGTTAGTATATATAAGGTGTATTACATTTCTGAACTATGAAAGAAAATCTGTTTACTCACCGACACGGCCCTGCCATCGGCCTCGGTCCACGCACGGTTTGCGGCAGCACCCGCTGGCCTGTTCTCTTTGGGTTGATGGCCTCTTTCAGTTCCCTTCATCTGAAGCTGCATGCGAGCTCATGTGTCCTTCCCGGGAACTTGTCCCAGAAAAAAAATGTCCTGTTCTACCCAGATCGACTAAACCTTGCTTTCAAACATTTCTTAAGAGCACAGTATGGTTTTCAGAGTCTCCAAACTTTAAATGGAGACTATCTCCCAGAGAACCACTCCTGGAATTGAATCCTTGAACATACTCGCCTTCCTTCCTTGACTTCTCCACCCGATGCTTTGTGCAACTCCGGACAGAAGCACTTTTAGAGTCTGGTTTGGCACCTGTGCCTTCCCCTCATTTTCTGCTTCAGGCATTCTCTTGGGTCCAAGAGGAAGAGAATGCGGCCTTGTTTCTTGACATCCTAGACCGAGCTCTGCACTGGCCTCACCTCAGCTGCCACGTCTGTCTGTGAAATCACAAACCTAGTTCTGTTACTTTCTTTGATTTGCCTTCCTCTGTGAGTTCAACTTTCTTTTCTTTGCTAGTAAAGCATTTTGACAGAACCCCAAAAATGCAGAAATCCTTTGTAACCTGAACATTCTTTTCATTGTACCTGGGGAAAACGATGCTCTCTGCCATTGACCACTGACAAAGCCCATTCTTGGTACCTGGTGGTTAAATGACACTGGCTGGACCCAGTGTGAAACATCCTAGATAGTCAGGTCTCTGTCCTTCCAGTAACTCGAGAGAGGCCGACTGGACCCTGGACTCACTGGAGAAGCAAAGCTTGATCGTGTATCTAATCTGTGTCCTAAAGAGTCTGGGAGCTCCAGGCAGCAGAAGCTCCACTCTTAAAGCTGTGCTTGCTCTTGCGAGGACAGAGCAGCAGGCTTGTCCAAGCAATCCTTTTTAGTACAGTTTAAAGCTCTGCATAAGGCTTTGACTTGATCTTTTATCTCCGGCTAATAATGTCAGAAAGTCCTACTGATGGCTGTCTTCCTAAGCCAGAACCAGGTACGTAGCGCCCAAGCCGCAGGGTGCGAAACATAGTCTACAGGCTGTGGGAAGTTTGCTGTTCATCCAGTATAGACTGTTTAGCCAGAGAGGAGTTAAATGTGCACATTTTCTATTTACAGGTATTTCAATCTATATAATAGTACCAAAAGAGTACCAATGGATAGGTGTCAAAATATAAGCTTCTTGAAAGATAGTGGCTTTTCCATTATCTAATTTATTGTTATTTTGATTTTAAAAAATGAGTTTGGTTGGGCAGGTTGGTAGCAATTTGAAGGAAATGCTGTAGCAACTGGCTTGTTCTTCTGAGGACTCTGCTCAGCCTGTTGGGATTGGTATCTAGGCATATTTATTAACTTACTTTATCCAGTAGAAGCTGCTCTGAGAACTTTCTAGAAATAATAGTCTTCTTGCCAAATTGCTCTCTTCGAGACATTTAAAACAGGGAAGTTTTAATTCCCTGCAAGAAAAGCCGTAACATGTTTAACAGATGGGTAGTTTTAAGGTAGTATTATTTCCTGACTCTAATTATTAAAATATTTGGTAAATCAAGCTTAGATTACCCTCCAAAGTAACCATCCGGTTTGTGCTGAGTTAAGGGGGAATTCATGGAACTGATTAGTAACACCAAGTAAATAATCTTAAACACCTTTAATCCTTTCCTTTGTTGCTAGGAGTCTCGGTTTATGAGACATTCTGTGAAGGCCATGGCAATTATCCAGCTAACCTTTAGTAATTCTGAAATAACAAGGCAGTCTTTAAGGAGTCTGAGCACCAGTGTAAAAACCATGAACAGGAAGGAAGGAGAAAGGCGGGCAGAGTTCAACAATGTGAGCTTTAAAATTAGCATCATTGTTAGAAAAACTTCAGGAAGCGAGCTTCTGGTGAGAATCTTCAGAGCAAATATTAGAAAACCGAAATTGTCCCAGCACTCATTGTTTGTTAGATGTGATGCGAAGATGCGGTTTTCTTTGTTTGAAGACGAGGTCTTGCTGTTGGTTTCAGGCTGGTCTTAAACCCAGGGTCCCGCTGCCTTTGCCTCCCAGTTGTTAGGGTTGCAGATTGTTCCACCATGCCTGGCTGGTGCAAAGAGCTGTTGCCATACCTGGACAGGCACCCTCATTGGAGCTATATTCAGAACTGTAAAGGTGACGCTGATTGAATGCAGGCCAGTTTTTATTTGGCTTTATTTTTGTTGTGGTGAAAACACAGCATGATTTGCCGTCGGGATCATTTCCAAGTGCGCGGTTACTGCAGTACTGCTGTGTGTTCTCGTTGTTGAACGGTGTGCCTCCAGAGCTTTCTTCGTGTCAGTCTGACTAGGCTGACTCTTTAAAGAGACAACAGTTAACTGATGAGGCCCAGCCATAGCTTGTGCCCAGCACACATGCAAGTGACATCTCACACCTCTGCTCTTGTTCACACGCACAGGAAGAAATTCTAACTCTCTTTGAAGGCCGAGTCAGAATCCAGGGTGAGGCACCCTTCCCGCTGTCTGTCCCGAGGCGACTCAGCTTCTCCCAGTCTCTGGCATCATCTGTTTGCCCCCTGCTTTGTTCTGAAAAGGACTGAGGCAGCTCATGAGAATGCGTGCCACCCAGTATGGCTGTGGTGGAGACGGAGGAAGGCTCCTCAGGTGTCCCAGGGGAAAGTGGGAACCACCACCTTACCTCTCCTGTGTACACTATGAAATCAAACGATATGCATAAAAGCATGCTCATACCTTGAAAGCAACGCCATATAACTTGATAACGGGAAAAAGTTAACAGCCCAAAGAGAGCAAAATGAATCCACATAACGCATGTCATATTTTGCTTTTTCAGATTATAGATACAAAAAAGATGAACTTTTCAAGAGACTGAAAGTTACCACTTTTGCCCAGCTGGTAAGTTCAGTGGTCTTCCTTTTGGAGTCACAATGAATCTGTGCTGTTCTGCATGAGCGTTGCTAGTCACATTTTGCAAGGAGTGGTCTGGGGCCCTTTCACCATGAGGGGATGAGATGGTATGTATGGGTGCTGTTCACGGGAGGATGGTGTGGCCGTTTTCTCTCTGGTAAGAGTCCCGTAACATAACTACAGCTGCCTTCTCTTCCTAATGGCCAGATTTGTGGTTTAGGTTTTATTTTGCTTTGTACACTTAAATTTGGGGTCTAAAAGTATCCATTTTAGATTTTTTGAAAAATTTTTAAACAAGTGATTCCTTGTTGAGTCACTGAGCTGCGTTCTGAACTGCTGTGCTGAGTAATCTCTGCACTCCACGAAAAGTACCCTCTTCCGTCTCTGAAAAGTGATGGACAAGGTGTCCTCGTGACCTCCAGACAAGAGGTTCATTGATGAGCTCCAGCTGGACTTGGGGCCTATGGACACTTCTTTAGAATGAACACTGTGTTAAGACATATTTATAATTCCCTTTCTTTCTCAGTTGTGTGGGGAATTGTCGGCACCATTTTGTGTTGTTACAGGTCAGGATCACATTTCCAAGAAATACTGTGTTACACTGGCTCAGACTCTACACAGACGGAGCATTAAACTCTCACCCATGTTTCTAGTCCTAAGTTAGCCTTTGAGCTTCTTTGTTGATAACATAACATAACATGTAACATGTAACATCACTTGTTTGTTTCTTGTGCTGTTGGTGTGTAATGTTTTACGTAAGTTTTTTTTTGTTGTTGTGTTTTGTTTCTGAACCATCCATCTGTGGGGTGGCTTCCACAATGATGCTTACGAGGCCTGACAGTCAATAAGATTTGCCCATCGGGACACTGACAGCATCTTACAACAAGGAGTCTCTGATGTTTGGAGTTTCTCAGTGTTTTGTAAAAGACAGAATCACCGAGGTTTACAGTAAAAATACACACATATAACACATTTTGTTCTCTTCTGTCAGGTCATTCAGGTCGCTTCCCTGTCAGATCAATCACTGGAAGTGACAGCTGAGGAGATCCAACGGCTGGAAGGTAATTAGAATGGAGGACGGAGGAGGCTAACACACTGACCACTGACGGAAGCCCACCCTGCGCGCCTACTGCCGTGTTCAAGGCCTCTGAGTCAGCGACATGTCTATTTGCAATTAGTGTCTCTCAGAGAAATGCTGTCTGGTGCCCTGATTATCCTCCTTTCTTAAAAAATAGTATTTTCTGACACACAGTTTCACTGTTTTAGGTGTTTGAATATATTATTTCCTTTCTTTCCAGCAAATATTTCTCCTGTCTCCATGCATACACAGGTTACAGAATTCAGTGGGAAGAGACTGAAAGGTTGAGCAAACTCTTCTCCATGGGATTTGTAGCTGTGCGTGTACAGCCGTGTACATGTGTCAGGAGCGGCAACAACACTACAAAATTACCCATGTGTCGGGAGTCACTGAAACATGCAGCAGTCATTTGTTAAGCATGTTTTGCTAGGAACTTCATGAGGATTTTATTGTCTGATATTCTCAAAAACGGTCAGGAACATTCGTGTTACAGATGAGAAGTCCCAGCACCGGAAGTTAAGCCCGGGTGGCCTGTCTGGAAAGGAGGGAGTGGACCCCAGCACCAGTCTAACTGTCTCTAGTAGCAAGTCTCTCCTATCAGCAAGGGATTCCGAAGAGCTCTTCTGAAAATGTGTGAGTGCTGAGGGGCTTCTCAGGAAGGAAGGTTGTTCTCCAGTTAGACTGAAGCAGGCTTCCCGAAGGCATCTGAGCTAGGCCTTGAAGGCGTGCAAGTTATGGGGATGAGTAGCTGGAGCAAGGTCTGGACATGAAAGGACAGCATGTATGCCAGGAATGTGGGGATCCAGGCCTGCCCTGGTCTTCAGGGACGGCAGACACTGGGTGGGAGATAAGGCTAGAGAGATAAGCAGGCTCCAGATTTCCTTTCTTGAATACCAACAGGAAAATAAAACCGGTCTAGTTGTTTAGTCATGAAAGGAGTACCCAGACTTCAGGTCTTGATTTTATCCTGAAGTACCCTGCAATCAGTGTATGCCTGTTTACTGAAGAGGAAGGCGTTTGTTAAGGTTGATGTAGGTCAGGAATTTCACTTCTGATTTCAAGACAAGGGTCTCAGGAAGTCTGAACACACTGGTTTTATGCAACTCAACTGTCATTTTACTGGGCTGGTTTTTGTTAGGGAGGATAAAGAGAATCTGAAAACTACAGGAATTTATCTTTGACGGATGCCTCTCGCCCAGCAGAGAAATAAGGACCCATTGTAACAGAGATAATTGCGTCTCCTTGTCTAAGCACTCCCAGTTTAACTGGGTTGTTCAAGCCCCTAGATTTGGCCTTTCATTCATTGTTGAGAGTGCTCCACCAGAAGGTATGGGCGCTCGCAATTTTCTCTTCTGAAATAAATTTGCACAGCAAAATAGGCTCTTGTAAGGTAGGATGCCATAGCGGAGTCGTGTTACTGCTTTCCCTGCGCTCTACACGGATATAAGCAGGCGGGAAGCCTGGAGAACAGGCTGACGGGGGGGGGGGGGGGGGGGCGATTACCTGGGAAGAAGGTAAAGCTCGCTTCCTCTTACACGGTTAATGCTTTTTCCTGACTTAAAAAATGTTTCAGGATGGCAGAACTCAGAAGACAGTTATAACACGTAATAATCCCTGTTGGCTTGGGCCCACTGTGTAGGTTTCTTATTTTATTTTTCTAAAACAATGCTCATCTTCATTATTGATTTGTAAGCGCTTTGCATAATTAATATATTTATACAACAGGAACCAATATAATACTGCAAATGGTGAGGAAAGTCTTTGATTAATTTTACAGTTCCCACTGAGATCAGAATAAAGGATAAAATCCCAGTTCTGCCAGTCAGTCGGGAACAGGCCAGGAGTGGCATCTCTCCACTGAGGGCTTTGAGGCCCCGAGGAGGACAGTGCATGAGACTAAGGGGCTGGAAGCTGTGCAGACACTTACAGCTGTATTTCCACAGGAATGCTCCATCGCTGTGGCGTTGTAGGGAGATCACTTGTGTTTCTGGTCGGTGTCCAGGAAAGTGTAGTTGTTAGCACTTAAATCATAACCTCAGGCTTGTTTGTCTGTGTTCTCCTGTTGCTTGAAGTTTCTAGGCATATTTTATCATATACAAATTAAATTTTAGTCTTTTCTAATTGTTAGGCCACTTCCATTTCTTCTTTCACTGCATTTGTTAGAACAGAAAATTCCCAAACGTTGTAGCCTCATCCCCCTCTATATTCCTAAAGATTGTGGAAGAGCGAGAGAGCATCAGTATATGTAAACCGTATCTACCCATGTTTAGTGACATGAGATGTTTAACCTGAGAACGTGAGCAGTGTTTATTCCTGCATATAAAAACCGTTCCTAAATCACCACCGACAGAATTGCGTGCGCATGCGGTGCACATGCGTGTGTCTGGGGCTCAGACCCAGGGCTGTGCACCCAGTAAGCACAGCTTCCGCTAAGTTCTAACACAGAAAACATATGTTTACATTAAAAAAAATCATTACATTTCCAACCCGGAATTTTCCCAGGTGGCTTAGAGTATTTGGTAATTTCTTTTGTGTCTGTTCTGGTAGACAACAGCTGCTCTGATCCCGGTTCTTGCCTGCATCAGTGCGATGTGCTGTTTGGGTTGAAGCCTGTGGAGAAAGTCCGCCTCACCTGGCCTCACCAGTCGGGAGAGGGAGGGTATTTCAGTCGGTTTAAACTTTCCTTGCTACTACACCAAAACCTGTCAACTGATGATTCATCCTCTCTCCTTCTTTCCCTCTCTCCAGTCCTTGCTTCCTTCCCTTTCCTCCCCTTCCCTCCCCTCTTCCCTTCCTCCCTTTCCACCATTTCCTTTCTGTTGAACCTGGCTTCAAACTCCTGGTCCTCCAGCTGTGTCACAGGCTTGCCTGCTCGGCCCGTTGCGTCTTAAGGTTCGCTGTAACGTGGCTCTGACCCCTTCACAGTGGACTCTCGTGCTCTGTTGAGGTCCTTTGGTCTGTGTCACGCGGTCAGTTCCGCCTGTGTGTGCCTTCGTATGGTATACTGGCGTTTGTCAAATGTTGTTTCAAATGAGTTATGGAAATCAGAAATGTGTCCAGTATGGGGAAACTCTCCATACTTCACCTCTGCGTGCCAAACACAGATCCCAAAATTCTGGGTTTTGTTCAAAAATGTAGCCACTGACAAGAAATAACATCAGTTGTTTGCTTTAAAAGAATGTTCACTCAATTCATCTTTAAGACAATGTCTCCAAAACATGCCAGTCTAAGAACCCAGATTTTTTTTACCAAGAACAGATGCCTGCAGCAAACTGGTTGGCTCAGCCACAGCCTAGCAAGCTTCTAATACTTAGCCCTGACACTGCCATAGTGTGTAGGTACCTGGAGAACTTCTATTTTGTCATGCAGATTGTTCCAAAGGCATAGACCTACTTCAAAGAGAGAGTTCTCCTTTTTTGAGCGAGGCTCTTGTTCTGTAGCTCAGGCTGGCCTGGGACTCGCTGTATAGCACAAGCTGGTTTCAGACCCCTATCGGTCCCCTAGCCCCAGCCTCCCAAGTGCTCGGATCACGGCTGTGAGCCACCATACTAGTTCAAGGTGGAGTTAATGGAAATTATTAACCACTGTTTCATGAAGGACGCTTCTTTTGACTGCCAGATGGATTTACTGTGAGAGCCTGGGCGACAGGGAAAACATGAGTGCTAGTAAATGTGCTGCCACTTCCGCAGAACTTGCTGGAGTCTGGAGCGTTCACACTGCCTCCTTCATACCAGCCGAGCAAATACAAACACAGGGAAGAAAAGTGATGGGCTGTGAACTTAGCTGGACTGCAAGGTCAGGACGCCAGGCTCTGTCCTTAGCTGGGTAGGGATGGAGACAACATCCTAAAGGGTTCTCACTCTGTAGACACAGGAAAGGGTCCTGGGAACCCCTAGCTTACCTCAGTGTTTTGAGAGCTCCTGTGTTACAACTTTTAGAGTAACTTAGCCATAGTGATATGATTTTTTTAAACTTTTTATTAATGGAAATACCTAAAAGTACATTCAAGTCCTGAGATCCCATTTGATGGCTTATTTTTTTTTTTTAGTTTTTAGAAATCTGTGTTTGTTTGTGGCGTGAGTGTCACGCGCATCTGTGACAGTGTGCATGTGGCGTCAGGAGAGCATGGAAGCTGGTTCTCTCCTTTGACGTGTGCTCTCCAGGGATCCGACTCCTCAGTCCCAGGGGCAAGCGCCCTCCACTGAGCCCTCCCACCAGCCCTGAGTATTCCTTCATTGCAAATTTCAGACAATGATTCTGCAACTTCAGAGGCTGATTTGGAAATCGCTGCGAGCACCAACGGCAAAGGGAGCCCTGGGGAAGACTCGCCCAGCCCTGTCCAGTTCATCAACAGCCTGGGAGCAGGGGAGTCCGGCCGCTCCACTCTGCAGAGGTACTTATGTTGGAGTGCCTTGTTCGCTTGCCTTGTTCATCTGACCCCCCTCACAGACTGACTTTCCTAGGACAGAGCTGGCAGCAGTGATGCCCCACGCCAGCCCCAGCCTTTGCCTTCTCTATTAAATGCCACCGGAGTGCTTTTTGCTTCTTGCCAAGTTCATGTGAAGGTGGGCTAGTTAACAAGTTAGTTTTCACTTCTCGGTTCCAGTCTTCTCAGCCCGTCCACATTCGGGTTAATTAGGGGTCAGTTTTTCACGCACTAGGTCTCTGTTCTGAGTATGAATTTTGTCCTTTCTAGAAGCGTATATTGTCCTGTCTAGAGTAAGAAAGAAACAGTGCCACAGGGTGCCCTGGCATGGACCAGGCACAGAGGAAACTGGTAGCGGCCATTGGCATCAGCTCTAAAGCACATGGCTCACCCTTTTCACTCCGTGCGTGACTGCTCGAAGCTTTACGTGCTGGTTATAAGGTGGGCACTGGTTTCCGGCACGCAGTCATCCCATCCCCGACAAGACACTTCTGCTAGAAAAACGTCGTCACTGGTGCCACTGTGTTCTTATTTTCGTGGCTGCTTTCATGGGAGGGCTATGCAAATGCATGCAGGAAGAGATGGGCGGGGCTGGAGAGGCGGGCCTGGACTCGCTGTGTAGCACAAGTCCCGCAGAAGTCCTGGGTTCAGTTCCTAGCACCCTTATAGCAGCTCAGAACCATCTGTGGACTCCTACAAACACACGATGCACCTAAGTACCAGACATAGGTGTACACACACAGTGTTTAAAAAGGAGAGAGGACAGCATGAAATACGCACGGTATAGTATGGAGTCATGGTGCTTACTGCTTTAAATGCAGAGAGTGAAGTCCCAGGATGGGCGGGGAATGAGGCAACGTATTCACTCAGGCTTGCTGCTCCCGGCCGGCCGAGAGCAGTCTCACTTCCTTACAGAGAGTTCGCTGCTTGCCATTTTGTTCACAGTGCCTGGTCTTCTCCGTCCCCTGATGTTCTTGCCGCATTTTCTCCCTGACAGTAAGATGGCAGCTCTTGTCTAATGACCTAGGAACAGAGCTGTCAGTGACGAACGCCCTTATTTTCAGCTCTTCCACTGTCTCCTTAACTCTAAAAGCCTCTTCAGGCTCATCATGTTCCTGTGTAAATTGGAAGTGAGTGCAGATAACTACTGAAAATTAGGCTTAGTGTCCACACTGCATAGGTTGCTGTGTGAGTACAGTCACGCGTCGCCTAATGACGGGACATTCTGAGAAATGTGTCATTAGGTGATCTTTTCTTCCATGATGGAGCCTCAGAGGGTGTACTTAACTAAAATGGTACCCACATCACTCACGGCAGTGCCGCTCTGCCTGTCCACGTTTGGCTGGTGAATCTTCACACGGCCCGGGCCTGCCCGTGAGATATGGGAAACGTTCTTGGTAGTTGATATTGTGTTTAAAGATCTTTTCTCTTTTTCTGCAATCCTTATTCTTTGCCCACTTACTGTTTTCTTTTTTTCCTACATTTGACTGGATTAACCATCGCCTTCCTTTCTCCGAATGTTGCCATTGTTGCTGAGGGCAGCCCTTGCCCTGCACCTTCCACCCCTCAGCCCATTGCGGAGTGGCTTGCATTCCATTCTCTGAGTGAGGATAGTGAGAGAGATGCTCCAGGCCTGCCCTAGGGTCCAGTGTGCTCCAGCATCTGCACAGGCCTGCCTTCTGGGCACAGCTGCGGCACCCTGCCTGTTTACTTCTTCTTAGGGGTGGCCTTGGAACAGACAAGGAACCTTCATCTCTCCATTCTGAAGAGATGTTTGACCTCTGACCTCTGGCCTCTGACTAGTTTCTGATGACCTATTCTTTTCTGCTCGTAGCGTCATCAGTGGCGTTGGGGAACTGGATGTAGACAAAGGGCTCGTAAAGAAAGAAGAGCCCAGTGGCAAAGACAAGCCGTATCCGGACTGCCCCTTCCTGCTGCTTGACGTTCGTGACAGAGACTCTTATCAGCAGTGCCATATTGTCGGGGGTAAGAGACAAGGGCCGCACACCCTCGCCTTGTTTGCTGGTGCGGGACCAGCAGTCAGGGACACTGTCCATGCTGGCTCCATCATGGACACCCTTGGAGTTAGCCCCACCATGCCCAATGAGAGGGCCTGCCTGTGGTCTCTGGTGCCTCACGGGCCCAGGACACAACCCGCAAGCAGCGAAGCCGAGTTTCCGCCTTTGTTCTGTGGAGCCCTTTCATTTTCTCTTCTTTCATAAAGTATTTGGGTACGCTTAGGTTCATGGCTCACTGACTTTGAAAGTATACTTGCCTCTTAGACTCAAGCCAGCTGGGAAGGGCCAGGTTGTAAGAGAGCTCTAGGCCTCCTGATCTTGTTCTTGTCTTTGTAGCTCACAGTTACCCAATTGCAACTCTATCCAGGACAATGAACCCCTACTCAAACGACATTCTTGAGTATGTATCCTTTGCTGTGTTTTAAGAAATTGGATGACACCAGGATTTTAAGACTCAGACTTAACATGAACCATGTTCTTAGTGTGAAAACTGCAAGGGACCTTTGCTACTAACCAGGTTAGCATGTTTTAGTTTGGATTCCTTGTCGCTGCTGAGCACCGAAACTGGGAAGCCAGTTCCTTGGAAACCATGCTTCACTGTGCCAGAAAACCCTGGGTTTCGGGTGTTGAGAGTGTTAAGGGTCTGTGAGACCTCACCCTGAGACTGTGGCTCCTCTGGAAAGCCTGCCCAAATTGAACTTAGGAAGTAAATATTTTTCTATTTTCATTTTCCTCTTAAAATTTTTATGAAATTTTAAAATCATATTAGTAGAAAAGTACTGAAAATATCAAAAAGAAAAACTAAGATATCCTATTATCAGATAGTTAGTATGAACTCCTATCACAGTCCTGGTGTATTTTGTCCTGACTCGTTTCTGATATGTGTGTGCGTATGTGTAATTTGTCTTCACGAAATTGGAGTCATTCACATGTGTAATGCGTGCTGGTGTAAGCTGTCTGTAAACTCCATTGTTGACAGGAGGTGACATCTCCTTGCAGGCTCACTCCCTAAACTGCGCCTTTATTTTGGACCTTGAGGTGGTTCTGCTGTCTTATGGTAAGGAGGTCTTCGGTGAGGTATGACACAGAGATTGAAAATGAAGGCTGTTAATTTTCCTTTCCAGGGTTATAAAGGTGAAAGAATTGGAAGGTGTAAAGTACGCAGCTCATGCTGTCAGGACGTAGGTCATGCTAGTTCCCCAAGCTGAACTACCCTGTCTTGTGTGGTTTCTGTGGCAAGGGAAGCCCTGGTGAGAATGAGGCCCGGTGTCCACTGTGCTCTGCCGGATAAACCGTGGCAGCCCAGTGTGTGTTGTCCGGAAGCATTAGCTCAGTGCTTAGACCCTTAACTCAGCTCACAGAAAAATGCTCACGGCAAGATCATCATTCTATATGATGAGGACGAAAGGCTGGCCAGCCAGGCGGCCACCACCATGTGTGAGCGCGGCTTCGAGAACCTCTTCATGCTTTCTGGCGGTGAGCAAAGCTGCAGTCTGCTTTCCAGGTCTGACCCCTACCCTAGGCTGCCTCCAGACCCGCACTGCCCCCTTTCAGTGCTCAGTGCCAGGACCTCAGCGCTGGGTCCAGAGGGAGCTGGGAGCCATGGACCTGTCTTCTGGTTCCTTCAGCACATGTGGGGGCAAGAGGGAGGTTTGTTCTTCCACTGTAGGTTTTGTTGACTTGAGGCTTCTATGGTGTTTGAGACGGGATCTTCCCGCATAGCCCAGGCTGGCCTCAAACTTTTAATCTTTCTGCACCTGCATCCCGCCTGCTAGAATTACAGGCGGGCCATTAGGCCTAGCTAGCACATGATTTTACTTCCTAAGCTAACGGCATTACTGCAGGGCTCTGTGAGAAGGCTAAAGACTTGAGCAGGAGCTTTCCTGTGGCATTCTTGATCACTTGCTGACACAGCAGTGAAGGAGGGTTTCAGATCATGGGCTTGGTGAGGAAGGACAGGAAGGTCTGCCGGCGGGTGCCCTGTGGCCTGCTGCCGCCTCGCTGTGTTAATCCTGCTTTTTCTGATGTTCTCCTCCTGCAGGTCTGAAGGTCTTAGCTCAGAAGTTCCCGGAAGGACTGGTCACTGGCTCCCTGCCAGCCTCTTGCCAGCAGACCGTCCCTCTTGGTACTGCCCGGAAACGATCCAGCCCCAAAATGCCAGCCCTGCCAGCCGAGAACAAGTGGAGATTTACCCCAGAAGACTTAAAAAAGATAGAGCGTTACCTGGAAGGCGAGCAGGGACCGGCGGGCAATCCTAGTAAGAGATTCTGACCTTTGCTTTTGGAGCGTGAGCCGTGCACCTTTGCATGTCCCCTCATCACAAAAGAGTTTCTTTACGTCCATACTCTTAAAGTACTGGGGGCTCTGTGTGTGACACATGAACTGCCGGGGGTCACGGGCAAAGGCGAGGCTCAGCACGCAGAGCCAAAGAACAAGTGCAGCCGCTCAGATGCCTCCTTGGGAGAGCCCCTCCTTCTGCTTCTGGGTCTGCTTAAGACCCTGCCGGAGCGTCCTCTTCATCTTCCTGTCTTTGCCTGCTGCTGTCTCCTCTCCCTCTCCTTTGTCTCTCCTCACCCTCTATACCCATCCCCACCCCCTTCGCCAACATCAGGCTGACCTCAGGGATGAGCCAGTAGGTCACCACTGGTCCTCCGCAGAGGCTGCAGAAGGCCCCCTTGGCACAAACGTGGCCACCGACTGAGCACAGCGGCTTGAAAGTGCTCTTGGCCGGTTGTTCCTGGAACCCTTCTTGCAGCCTGGCTCCTTTCTCTTTCTTGCTCCCCTCAGGCCGACTGAACCAGAATAACTCTGCCGGAAAAGACTCAAAGGTGCCTGCCAGTCGAAGTGGCCAGAACCTGCCCACCGGGGGTCCTGCCGGCCACTCGAACCCCCGCACGCTCAACAGTGGTCACCTGCAAGGCAAACCCTGGAAGTGAAGACCTGTGTTGTTTGGTCAAATAAATATCCCCTCCTTTCGGAACCCCCAGCACTCCCAACTTGGTCATTTTCAGACTGCTGTAGAGGAATGGCCACGCTCTGTGGGCCCGCTTCTCCCTCCCTCCACTCAGGAAGGATTCTGACGATGACCACAAAAACCAGAGGCTTGTCAGGCGCTAGCTGCCTCCCTGTTGTTTACAGAATACTCTTGTCTTCTGAAACTGAATAGGAAAAAAGAAAGATGCTTTCTTTTAAGTAAGGTCCAGCCCGTTTGGTCTGTAACCAGTGTTGTTTTGTAAATAATTCAGTCACATCTGCTGCTGTGTTCTTCCCGGCAGGCTTTTCTCGTTCCCTGTTGATCTCATGAAAGATTCTCCAGGTGGACCTGGCATTGCCCCCAGGGTGCAGATGAGTTCCTGGCTCCTGCAGCCCAAGGGCCCCACACTGCGCCAGGTGCCTGGCTCAGTCTTAGCTCGCACGCCGCAGCTTCTGCTGGGGTTTGAGGCTGAGGTTGTATCTTACTGGTTTAGCAGAGAAGCTCTGTGCAAAATGATCTCTTCCTTAAATGGTTTCCTGGGACCAGAAAGGTGCGTGCTCTTCTGTGCTCACAGCAGAAGGAGGAGGGCCTAGCACAAGTCCCCAGCACCCCAAAAGTCTGTGCTTAGAGCCTTGGGAGGCTGCCACAGCTGTCTCCCCAGCCCCCCCATTATGAACCTAATATCAGTTAAAATTTCCCATTGCCTGACTTGAGTCCAGCCGTGTTAGATGGGCAGAAATCATGGTCACGTGAAAGCGGCAGCCTCATGCAGGCGTGGGGACACACAGGTGAGGGGACTCAGGAGTCCTTTGTCAGCGCGGACAACCCCTTAAGCCCTTGCTTAAAAATACAGTATTAGTCTAATTGAGTAATTAGTGCAATTTCCTGCTTGCTTTTCATTCTCACGACTGAGCTGTGATTAGGAGGCTGTGATTATAGATTCTGGTTTGGGCCGGAATTTTGAATCGGCATTAATTGAATTGCTAGATGACTGACACCCATTCTATTTAATTGGAGGAACAAAGACCTCAGGTAAGGATGAGGCGCATGAAGTCATACGGAAGGACCAGCCTTGTTAATTTTTATGGTCTGTGATGGTAGCTGTGATAAGGGACTAAAGAATAAATTGTGCTCTTTGTCATGGCAACCAGCTTCTGAAAAGCCAGCTGAAAATTGCTATCCTTAGGTGGTTACTGCTGCTGGGTAAGACTCGCCTTAACAGTACTATTTTCTCACCACTGGAAGAAAAAAACAAAAAGGAAAAAGCCCACAGTATTTCTAGCATGAGGGTTGTGTTTGTAAGAGAAATAAACGTAATAAATAATCTCATGGAGACATATGGAAAAATAACTCAGTCAACCCAGCTCTGTTTCAGAATGTGTTTATTCTTCTCTACTTGATTTCCAAAGTGCAACATTTTCCAATGCTTTAGAAATCAGACAGACCAGGGACATTGTTCATATGTCAAGCCGTGCCCAATTTTCCACAAGATTCGGGAATCTTGTATAAAATTCAGCCAATGTACACATAGCTTTAATGAGAAGCCTGCCATGTTTCCCCATACATTTATTGCCTGAGAACTTAGCTCAGCCTTTTGCTAATGCCAAAATGCACTGGCTTTTATTTTCTTTACAGCATAGATAGAAAAATGCAAAGTTTCTGCACTCGACTTTCCCCTAACATGGACAAGATTTTCAGCCATCTTTGACACATTTACATTTTTAAGGAAAACCCTTTCCTTAAATAAAGTTCTGGTTTGCCACGTTCACATCGGGAGATTAGACCTCCTCACTCAGTTCTGTTTTGAAAGTAAAGGACAGGTTCCTCCTGTTCCTGTTCCGCATTCACCACCAGGGATGTCCGTGTTAGAAACTATTGCATGTACGTAGAGTGTCGGTTTAGCCAAAGCCATTATTAGAATTGCTGTGTGTCTACTGGCGTGGGCTAGCAGGCCGAATATGTTTCCATGTGTTTCTCCGTAGCACTTTGCCCTGTTGGCAAGGGAGGCCCGACCCTCCCCTGCACTCAGCCTTCCTCTCGATGCTGTTGCTCCCTAACATTCCACCTTACCAGGATCTTCACTAGACTGTTTGACATGTATTATCTAAATGATCAGTGATACTTTGTGCAATTATGAATGTTGAAGATTAAAGAACGTAGTTACTAATTTGTCGTTTGCTATTAATGTGCTCAAACCTGCCAACTTCTCTTTTCCTCTCTGTCAGAATGATTTGGGGAGCCCCAGGAGACAAGAGTGATTTGAAAGCGTACCTCTCTTTACTGCATTTCCCAGAAAGGCATATGCTTTTTGCTTCAATGAATGTAGAAATCATTCCAGTTTAGAGCAAGGGGCCATAGCTTTCTAGTCAGCAGGGCTGTGTTTTTCCCTGGAACTTGGGCAGAGCCGGATGGCTACCTTGGGCAACCATCTTTCTGCTTTCTTCTGTGTCACTGTGTTAGGCACTGGCTCGCTCCTCTGAGGTAGGGACTGCTGGGTGATGCCCTTAGCTCTACTCAGAATCTTATCAATAAAATGCTTATCTCTTCCAGGGTCTGTGTAGTTAAGAAATCTTAAAGAGGGGCCATTTAAGGGAGCACAGATTTAAGAGGCCAGGCAGGAAGGAAGCTAGGAAACAAAGGAGGGACGATAGAAGAGAGGCAGGAAGTGGCAGGAGAGAGAGGAAGGAAGAGACTGCAGTGCTCATTCAACAACGGGGACGCCTTGGCTGTAACCTCAGGCTGGGACCATAAAATCTATAGCATCAGTGAGTAGCCAAAAGTAATCTTCCTTTTTCTTTCTCTACAGCGGGAAGCCAGAGACTGCAGTCATATTGGGCTAGATGCAAACAGGAATTAGAATAAATAATGTCCATTAGATGCTCAGGGAGTTTTTCCTGTGGTCCTGTTTAAATTCTAAAGAACTTAACATGTTAAGCTACTCACAAGCAAACAGAACAAAACAAAACCCTCCTTCTCCAGTTCCCTTGTGGAATATAAGTTGTTGGAATCCTGGGCTGGGAGAAATATGTCAGTGGTTTTTCTTGTTGGTTTCTGTTCCCGCAGCTTGTTTGTTGGCCTTAGACTCTGTCTTTTATGTTGTCTGACACGTTTGCAGAGATGACCAGTTTCAGTTGCCTGGCTGTAGCTCCATGACTACCTCCTCTTATTCAGCCCTGAAGAAACCAGCCATTAAGAATATTTAACAAACTATTGAATGTCTTTAATATGCATTTGTGTTCTTCACAATTCTTTCAAAGATTCAAACCCCATAATACTTCTTTCTCAAAAAAAAAAAAAAAAAAAAATCAGAACCATGTGGATTGTTATTCATCAGTTAGATTATGTGACACTTAAGTTCACATAATGTTGAGTACTTAAATACAATTTAATTATTTTTATTTTTTTATTTTTAACAGATCTTGCCTGTTTATTTGTAAAAACAGCACAGGGCACTGGTCTTCTGTAAAGAGTGTGTAGGGGGTGTGTCACACCAGTCCCTCTGTCTTCGAATTGTCAGAAGCCTGTCCTACGGGGCCTTCACCGGGGCCTGGGCCCCTTTGGGAGCCTGAGCTGGGGCTGAAGCCTGGGCCTGAGCTGGAGCTGCGGCCTCTGCCTTGATGTGAACCTTGGGCTTTGGTTGGCAGAGCCTGCGACCCTTGGCTTTAGCTTCTAATGCGCTTCCCAAGCTTGGGAAAAGCCAGACGGCTGAGCTTGCACCTTGAGCTTAACAGCCAAAGACTTCACAAGGGCCTTGATGGCCCCTGCTCGCACACTCACTGCCTTTGCGTTGTTCACCTGCATCTCAGACCTCTCTGTGCTTTCTTGGCAAAGCACTTGTCCCTCGGGAACTTGGGGTCCACCCCCTTAGGAGATTCGTCTCTTTGTGACCGGGGTTTCTAGAAGCCATTTCTGGGCCATCTGCGGCACTGCTTGTGTGTGGTGGTTCTCGGACTTGGCCATGTCTCACAGTAATCGCAGGGCCTCTGGTTATTTTTCTTAACAAGTATATTTTTCATGTAAAAAGCGGTAAACGAGGCCCAGTGTGCTTCCAGGGTTCCAAATGAGTTTGGGTGGTTAAACTTTCCTCCGCTTGTAGTAATTACTGAAATCAGGCGCTGGGATGGCTCCCCCGGTGAAGGGTCCACCATGCAAGCATGAAAGCCTGAGTGTGGACCCCGGCACCTCCATCAGAGGCCAGGCACGGCACACCTGCCATCCCAGCCCCGGGAGACAGACACAGGATTCCCAGGGCCTGCTGGCCGGCCTGTTCCCAGGGTTGCTAAGAGACCCTAGCTCATACATAGAGAGCAACTGAGGAAGCCCTTTGCCCTCCATGCACACACAGGAACACGTGTGCAGGAACACGTGTGTGCGCACACGCATAAACAAATCCTGTTAGGATTATTACGGCGTTCTTAAAGCGGCACCCACGTCAGAGATGGTACTGAAGAATGGGCCAGTGGACGTTTGTCCAGCCTGAATTATGGCAGAGCAGGGTTCAACACACCACTCTGTGAGCTCACAGACCTCTTCATCTGCCGCACTCAGCCCCCTCTGTGACAGTGCCCCTTAAGTAAATATTCAGAGTAAGTAAACTCGGGTCCTGGAGGCTCGGGGAGTGCATTATCTTTGCATGCAGCTTCTGCTTGTCCGGGCGTTTGTAGCCAGACTCTTCTCTCCACTCGGGAAGATGCCGTTTTACTTGATTTGGCCCATTTTTGCCGTCCGTTCAGTAGCTGCCAGCATTCCTCATTACAGGGAGGCCTCACTGTCCCCTCCCATTCCAGAATTGGAGGACTGCAGGTACCAGCAGCTGTGTGTTGGGCAGCGTTCGGGGCCCTGGTTGGTATGTTTTGACGCCTGTGATGTTCCCAGCAGTTCAGTGCGGTGTCGCCCCATTTTCAGAGGAGGAGATGGCCACTAGGCAGCCCACACTGTGCTGCTGACTAGAAGGAGAAGCTGGGGCCCAAGCAAACCCCTGTGGGCTCTTGGCTTTGGCTTCCCAGACTAGACTCAGCCATGCCAGGTCTCCCTGGGGGAGTCCTCAGTTTCCCCATGGAAATGGAACTTCTGCTCGGCCTTGCCTTCCCTTCCTTCTTCATCGATGAGGTTGGGCTGGAAACTTCCTTCTGCCTACCCGTGCAAAGCACAACGGTGCTCACGCAAAACCCCCCGGAGAGCATTGTCACTTCTCTGTTGGAGTCGGAGTCCCGTCTCCAGCATCAGCATTTTGTTTGTTCGCCTGCAGACACATGGTGAGCCTTCACGTATGGAGTGAACTGCCTGTGGAAGGGGAGACAGACTGTTGCCCTCGTGGTCCGAACAATAAAGCTGATATGATTACTGTCTAATCTCTCTTTCTTCGATAACATTTCTGGTTTAAGCAGACACAGATTTCGAGAACTGGCCAATGGCCCCAGGTGTGTGTTCTGGGGAAACAGAGGCACAGCCGCAGCCTGCTTCCGAGCAAGGCCTTACCTCACCAAGTTCTCTCAAGCTGCAGCTGGCACTGTGGCTGAGGTTAAGAGGAACTTTTCATTTTCTCCTTTTCCTTTGGCAGTAAACACTTGGCTGTCTCCATCCCTAGAGTTTTTCGATGATGCTCACAGTTTGCGTTGCCAAATGAATGCGGCTCCCTAAAAGCTTCAGGGAAGAATTCGTTTCCCTTTGACGCGTTCTTGGGGTAGATGGTCCTCTGTGCTTTTCCCAGAGCTCTTCTTGGCTGAGACACTCCAGCCAAGTATGGCTGTTCATCTCCAGTTCCTCCAGGCAACATCTGGGGTTTAGCATGTTCACAAAATGATGTTTCCCCAGCGCTTCAAGCAGGAGGCCTTGTGCATTGTCCCGTCCACCTGTCCCTCGTGCCCTTGCAGGACAATTGCCAGCAATGCTCCGCGAGGTGAGGGATGAGTGAGGTCATGTCTGGACTGCGTTCAACGACACTCGAGCTTCAGGCCAGAGCCAGGAAGCTAACCACCCGTGTCTGTGTGTTAATTCAAGAGACTACCTAAAAACTTCTTAACGGGCTGTCATGGCCCCTCGGCTTCACCGAGAGCCACCTCTAATGGCCTAAAAATGACACGAAAGGAGTCCTCTTGAAATAAAGCCCTTGAGGGGGCTCTGGAGACTTGGAGTTAGCATAATACATTCCCATAATTGCAGTGGGAACAGAATACGAGCAGAAAGGGTGCTGGGGTGGGGGGAGGGTCCTCCGGCAGAAGATTTAAAGCTCACCCCAGCTGGGAGCCCTTGTAGTGACAGCCATCCAGAATGTAGTCCTCCAAATATAAAATGGAGTGTTAGGGAGCTGAGATGCTGCGGCAGAAGGTTAGGGTTTAGACATTATTTTAAAAGAACTGAACAAAGACTAAGATGGCTGTTCCAGTGTTTGGTGCTGGCACGCTGCTCTTGAGTAACCGTACACAGGTTTGTCACCTGGGGGTTGCAGCTAGCCCTCCCACTTCCTGGCTGGCTGTAAAAGCCCATTGCAGGGAACTGGAAAGTATCAACAGCAAACCCACCACCTCTATCCAGAGTGTCATGACTGTGTGTCTGTCTGTCTCTGTGTGTGAATCTCTGTGTTAGACAAAATGATATTCATAACATACTGTTTTGTAGCTAGCTTTTACAGAAACCGTTGATATATAAATCATATACCCTGCAACTCAGCTATTTGGAGAACGCAATGATTTTCGTGAATTTACAGACTGTTTGAGCATCAGCACAGCCCAGCTTTAGAACATTTCCATCTTGTAGCCAACGCCTCTCACTCAATATGCTGCAAACATTTTTTCCAGGTGAACGCATACCTGTATGGTTTTATGATATCCTGCTGTGTGGCTGTGTCACACTAGTACCAATATTGAGTCTTATGAAGGTTCCTTTTGACATCCTTTGCTCCTTTGCTATTCCAACTTGGCAATACCGTCCAAATATTTTCATAGAATAAATTCTTTCAAGTGGTCTTGCTGTGTCAAAGAGGTACTGTATTTAATTTCTAAAATCTAATTGCCAAATGTACAGAAAGTTTTCCTCCTACTAACAGCACAAGGCTGTGTTTATTTCTTCATGCCCTTGGTAACATTGTGTGGCCAGTTTTTTGTTGTCCAGCAAACTGATGAAAGAAAAATGGTTTCCTTTAATATACAAGAATCCACTGAGGATCAGTATCTTTCACGTTTTGTTGGCTTTTTCCATCTCGTGTTTTTGGGAGATAGGTGCTTTTCTTTTGAAATGTTGGTCTTTTTTTTTTTTTTTTTTTATGTCTTTAAGTATTAACAAGTTCCATATCTCTAACATTCATCTGTCATCAACATTGCTGTGAATATAAATTTCTTTAAATGTCAGGCACTTGGAGCAGTGGGGAGCAAGTGAGCAAGCCGGGGCAGCCTCTTCCCTCATGGAGCCCACACTGCTCCCCCACACCCTTTCTTCTTTTCTCAGACAGGGTCTCACATGTCCTAAGCCAGAGACAACCTGGACCAACCTGGGTCCTTGCGCCACTACCTTCCAAGCCCTGGGGTGGTGTCCTGCTTCACCACATGGGGTTTTCTGAGGTCTTGAGTTCAAGCCCAGGGCTTCATGCTTGCCACCAGCTGACTGACAGACACCACTAGTCCCAGCCTTTCAACGTTCTTAACACTCCTCCTTGCTCAGAACCTTACTTTTTGAACCACGGTGCCGAGAATTCATAATCGTGTGCACATGGCTGTTTTAACAAACCTAAACGACATGCAGATCTTAGAATGTGCTGATTCAAGACAGTCATGGCGACACACTGTAATCCCACACTCTCGAGGCCAAGGCAGGCGGATCTCTGCGAATTCAAGGCCAGGACTGTCCACATGGTGGATTCCAGACCAGCTAGGGCTCCACAGTGAGTGTCTGTCTGTCTGTCTCGCCTTCCCTCCCTCCTTCAGCTCTCCTCCCACACCTCAGTAAAAGCAGAATTCTTTCAACAATTACTAGGTGCCTGTATTCCAAGCACTGCTGATGTTGGAGATGACATGCCACAGTGGCCCCTAACAGCGAGGACAGTGCAGTTGGTCTGTCATTTGTGAAATAATGTCGTCATACTAGCTGAAGTTTTCCTTTTCTTACCGGTCTGCATCAAGAAGATGACCAAATTCTTACTTGTCCAAACTAAGCAGTTAAAATGCAGCTTTCTCTGACTCACCTTCAGCCTCTTGACACAAGGCTTGGAGGGAAATATTTTCCAAAAGATGAAGGAGTCTGACCAAACCTTCAGTCTAAAATGCCTTTAGGTGGTGGTGGTGGTGGTGTTTGTTTGGGACAGTGTCTTTCTGAAGAGCCTGAGGCTGGGTCCAAACTCAGTTTTTTTGTCTGAGCCATGACTGCAGGGCTGTGCCCCCGTGCCTGGCTGGGAAGACCTTTCCCCTCATCTTGGGATGCAGACATTTCTAACCAAGCCTCATTCTGGTTTTTAGAATATTTGCTAGGAAAAACTATTAAAATAGAACTCCAAGATGGAAAGCTTTTGGACCTTAAAGCCATTTTCTATGAAAAAGACAAGACTTAAGGCTGGGGCTGGCAACGTCTTGAAATCTGAGTGGTAGAGAGAGAGAGAGAGAGAGAGAGAGAGAGAAGGCCCAGTCTGCCTGCAGCCTGTCTGCCAGAGCCTTGTCACGTTACCCCAGCTCTCCATTCCCATGTCGGGGACACAGAGGAAACCAAGATCATTTCTTAACTTGAAGAAGGTGGGTAGTGTGGCTGCACCGATGGTGTAGCAGTTGGGAGCACTGGCTGCTCTTCAAGAACCTGGGTTCAAGTCCCAGCACCCGCACGGCAGCTCCTCACACAGACACACATGCAGGCAAAACGCCAATGTCAGTAAAGTAGTCTTTAAAAATTCCTAAGAAGGCAGCTGAGTCCATGTACTGTGATGCTGGTAAGTGTGCTAGCCTGAGGGTCACCATGCTGGTAAGTGTGCTAGCCTGAGGGT